ATAGTTCTAACAAATAAAATGAAACTGCTGCATTGGAAAACGTATTAAAAATTGTAACTAAATCTAGCCACCTTAAGTTAACTCTGCAGACATCTACAGGCATGCGTGGCCTATGCTGGCAGAAAGCATATACTTTGTGCTAAGAAATGATTTCATAATCAAGCTAATGAACATCCCAAATCTGTTTCTACTGGTATCAGAAGTATTATTGTCCTACAGTATCCATCAGTAATTATTCACAACAGTACCCATAAGGCCACCTAGGTACCTTAAATACAAACAGATTTTGTTTGGCACATTGAAACAAACAAACAAAAAATCCTAAAAAGTAGAGAATAGATTTTATATATATATACACATATATGCATATTGGATATGCATATGCTGTATAAAGCTGTGGTTCCATATGTTGTACTTTAGAAAGATAAATTGTTTTACAGCCATGCCATAATGAATACTGTATTAAGCAGAGGGGGGAAAAGAGGAAAAAAGCACATACTTCTCCTTTTTTATACTGTGAGTACGGGTTTCTTTCTTCCTAACCTAAACCCTGCCTACTGTTTGCTGCTGCTGTCTGAAGTGACACTTAGACAAGTATTCCTGTGTTAGCCAGCCTCCTTCTTCCTTTAGAAGAAACACACCTGTTTATAACCAAAGCTTCATGTTATGACACATCAGTCTTGCGTTGGTTGTCAGTATTTGCCTTCTTTACCTTCTCTCAGGTGTCATCACGAGACCTTTAGTATTGTCTTCAACCGCTCCCCTTCCAAATTATATTCATTACCTTTATGTTTCATTTAACAATTGAAGTCTATGAAAGTATACCTAGACAAACTAAGAACTGTCTCTAACCAAACCTTGTAGCTTTCTGAGTTAAATCATCCAAGACAAGCAGAGAATGGAAATGAGTTTAGGCCACAAAGTTGCAAAGATTTATGTATGTGCTAACCTGAAGCTCTGTGAATAGTCCTGTTGACTTTGGAGGGATTACTTATAGTCCATGAAGTTAAGCAATCTGCGTAAGTGATTGCAAAATTGAAACCTTAGATAGACTGTAATTGGATTTTGAAAAAGGCTCAGAAATTGAATACACAGCTATAAATCACATGTCCTCGAAGAGTTATAAATCACAAAAAAAGAATGTTTGAAATATAATTATTTTTCTTAGTAGCTCAGCTGTATGTGGACTAATGAATATAATAAGATTAATTTTAAATTATCACAGATCATTAAATGTAAAGTCCCTGAAGCATGTCGTATAAGTCAAAAGATATGAATCTTTGAAGGCACCCTTTTATTTACTTTCTTCTTACAACTCCAGCTATAATAAGTGACTTACCTGCATGACACAACAATAGGAAGTTTATCAAATATTAAAGCCAGGTGAAGATCAAAGACATATCCTACAAATATGCCTAATAATCAGGATAGAATCAGTATAAAACAAGTATGTTTATTACCAGCCATATTGTGCCAGATATTCGGAGAGGATGCATACTTTGTTTTAATTAGCCATCTCTTTCACTGCGTTGCTTGGCCAAAGCTTCCTGATAAGGAAAAAAAAATTGTAGCCATTGGTCAAAATGCTTGTAACAAATCTTGTTTTAAATTGAAGCTATTTATTCAGAAACCAATCTACTACTGCAGCAGTAATCAATGTATTTTCCCTTGGAGTAGAACTGTTCCTGTGCTACTGGAGGACTATTTTTAATTGCCTGTAACTAAATGATTGCTGCGCTTCTGGATGTAACTCCCTGGCACTCGCTCATTTGTTGTGTTTAACAGAATGCCTGTCCCCTAAGGGTTAGCCAAGTAATTTTCCTCTACTATTTTCTACATTCAGCCTCAGCTCCTTAAGGAGGGCCAGGTCTGTAATTTGAGCAATGTAACACGGAGACTAAATAGGTTTTAAAAGGTTTGCACTTTTCGTCTCTCCGCTCTGATGTGGAATTGTGCTGAAATTGAATCTTTTTAGCGTGGAGCCGCTACAGTAAACACAGATCACTCTTCAAAGGGAGTGTAATGCCTGCTGCAGCAACTGTGCTCAAATCGCAATGCAAAAGGCAGAATAAAGCAAGCAGAAAAAAATGTTATTGTGAAGGTAGCCTTACACTCTAACCTTGCTGTTACACTTTAACTTAGCTTTAACAGTCACTATGGCATTGTTGACGTACACGTCACCAACACCCCTGGCATTCGCAGAGCACCTTTCAGGAGTAACCCCTCCTACAAAGGAGCCAGACGCGCCCTCCCCAATTCACATAGGGGAAACCGAGGCTTAGAAATGTGAAATGGCTTCAGTCACCCGAGGGGCTGACAGCAGAGGCAGGACCAAGCCTTCCGCTCCTCACGCCTTCTGTTCAGCACAACACAGGGCGACGCTGCTCATGAAATCTCTGCGGCAGCCCAAACCCAGCCAGTGCCCCTGTGGGGCATCATTTAGCATCCTGCAGAAACACTAAGTCAAGGCCTGAAAGCAATCAGCTTGGTGTGGCGCTGTGCCCAGGCCAATCTGTCCCACCTTCCGTGGCGCTGCACAGATGCGGCTGTCCCACTTCCAGCACTTTGGGGGTTAGCTCAGGCGTTCACAGAGCTGGGTGTAAGGATGCAGCAGTCTGCCGGGCTAATCGCTGCTCCTCTCTGCCTCCGGACCCTGACAAATAGCACCCAAGACAGAGAGCGAATATGTGCCGATAGACGTTGTCCAGCATGGAGAAAAATACAAGCTTGCTATGCTAGATGGGTAGAGCATGAAACTTACTTTGCAAACAAGTCAGTTTAAGAAAGAACTACCTTATCCGTGTGCTAAGTGATCACGATGGGCTTGGGAGCAGCACATAAAAAGGCAATTTCTAGTAAGTTTCAGGGTGACTTAGAGAATTTTGTTGTTTGCTTTAGTTGCCTAATTTAGGATAATTTCATGTGTCTTCAGATAGTCCTTATTGAAGTAAAAATATAGGCATAATCTTGAATTATTATATGGGGAAAAAGATAATTAAGAAGGACTCTGATGGCAAAAGTGATGCAGTGTATTAGTCTGATTTCGTGCAGAGAACAGATGACTACCTGCACTTATTTTTTCTATTTAATCTCAAAATCATTAATTTCGGAAAAACTTTTGTTTTCCAGTTGTAAAGCTTTGCCTTGCCTTTAATGAGTCATAACAGCAGGCACGTAAATAGAGCATTTTGTGCCTAGCAACCCGAAATATTAAAAGCCTTTCTTCTAGTTACCATTGAACAGCTGCACCACCTGTACTACAAAATGATAAAGAGGGTATAGTAAGCCAGTGCAGAGTCATTTCCATTTCCATTTATATTCTAAAATACTGTATTACTTGCCTATGCAAACATTTTTTTGTAGGGTGTTTTTAATAACATTCTCCTCTCTGGACCAGAAAATTATTGAAAGTCTGAAATAACCATGCCGGTCTTAAAAATATCTAACACAAAGGAGTTTCTAGCACAGTTTTAAAGAGAATGACATGGAATATAAATGCCTTTTTATTTTATTTTATTACACTTTTAGTGTCTTCTAGAGAGCAATGAAATCTTCTTACAGTTGCCTCAAAATAATAAAAAAGTGTGTCATTCTCAGTAGACACAGTCAAAATAAATGGAATTGTCACTTTTTCCTCTAACCTTTTATTTCTCTAATTGAATTGTATTGTGCTGGAGTAACATAGCTACATAACCACACACACACACAAAAAGGTGACGTCAGGGCTACCCTCCTTCACTCAGACAGAAGCTGCCCACTGGGAGAGGACACTGTGAAAGTAACACGGAACTGAGCTTTCTCCAGCACAGATTTTTATGATGCGAACTGTATAACTTGGACTTCCAAGATTTGATTTCCTGACATTCCTCAAAACTGAGTGATATTGGAAAAGTATGGATGGTCTTAAGATACGCCATTTATTACTCATTTCAAATTGCAACATTGTTAGTAATGTTCCTCCTCCCACCCTTCTTTTTTAACATTGCCAGTTTTCAGTCAATAAGCAAATGAAAAGTAACAACAAAATGGATGCCACGTAACTGTGTGAGCTTCCTTGAGCATGCAACAGTTAAGACTGGCAGCGTGAAAGTCCATGATGGTATATTACTTATGCACTCATTAGTGGCCCCACTGAGGATACTGCTGGTTGTAGACAGTTATGGCCACATTTGACCAGAGTCCCTGTCCTCAGGAACGGAGCTACATGGCGAGGACCTCAATCCATCATGTGAGTCTCCAGTGGCAGAGTGCAGCAAAGACACCAGGGGGTCACAGTCTGAATAGAAATGTCAACATGAACAAATTGGGATGGTTTGCTGTGGCTACACATAAGCCAACCCCACTGGGGGAAAGGGGAGAATAAAGATGAACTGCAGATCGTTGGGAAACTGGGTCAAAGATATTAACACATAACTGAGATGCAAAGCTGTGGGGTTCCTTGGATAATTTGTCTTCGCATGTCTCAAGTTTTTGTTTGTTTTATTCTTATTTTTATTTGGGGAAAAAAAAATCAAATCCTTAGTGTAATCTTATCCAGTAGACTGAAACTCATCTTATTTGTGTGTGGAATAAGGGAGGAGCTGTGTTTGCATTATAGTCCCCAAGAAAGAGACATTCACCTCTGCTTTTATTGTAAGTGGAATGTCAACATTTATCTGTGTAAAGCAAACTGTGATCTATCTACAGAGAGAGAGAAGGAAGAAAGTTATCAAATATCTCTTTTATACATGCACATACTCATACACACACACACATATCCCTAGCAATTGTTATTTTTTAAATGAGCAATTCAGATGGTGCACCAGAGGAAAAACTATTTTATTAAAGGAAAAAAAATTCTATTAATTAGGTATTTCTTCAAGGGCCCTATAATGAAATAAATAGATAAATAACCCATCATTCATTATTTTATTCTAATGTTTAACACAAGTGCGAGGTCTGCTGCTAATCTTTTTCTGGTTTGGAATGTGGTTGTTATTGCGTTTTGTAATTCTTTGCAGAGCTGATGTACACAGTTGAGCTTGCTGGTGGGCTTGGTGCTATTCTGCTGCTGCTTGTTTGTTTAGTGACTCTCTACAAGTGTTACAAGATAGAGATTATGCTCTTCTACAGGAATCATTTTGGAGCTGAAGAACTAGATGGAGGTAAGACAGCTTCTTAGTACATTTCCTGCTTTCTAAGTATGCCCGTCTTTTATTTCTCTCCACCAAGGCCCAAATTTCATCTCAGTTCAAGATGTGTTAACAACTGCAATTTTTATTTCTCACTGCATTAGGCACTGACTTGAATATGCATTCCTTATACAGCACATTAGCAGCAGTGATCGCTGAGCTGATGTACGTGCTGCTCTCTGGAGCTCCAGAAGACACCCATGTCTTTTAGATTTTTATTCCTAACACTGAATGTAAATTGCCAACACTGATGCATTAAAGATTTTCACTTCCTGTCAGTACTGAAAGCCAGCTTCACTTCTCCATAAGCTAGGGAGTGTCTTCCCTAATTGTATTCGCCAAATAGGTACAGATTGAAGTGAATCTCAATTTACTGCTTGTTTAAACTGATCAGTTTCAATAAACTTTACAGAGTGTTTGGGAATGTACCCAGCAGTTCGTTTTCTTGAGTTCATTTACTTAATCACTGAAAGACAGGCTAATGGTCGTTAAAGTTGTTCTGTGATTCAAGGACACCCAGCCTAAATAAAAGTACCGGCTTGTGTCAAATGTATACATGCATTTTCTTTTCTTCTCTTTTTAAGGACTGAAGAAAAAGGTCTTCTTTTCCTCTAGCCCTACTAATCAAAACTGCTGTTGAACAGCAAACTGGGTTGAGCTGGAGGTTCTGATTAATTAGGTTTGGTTTCTTGGGTCAGAGTTCCTGATGTTTTGTGCTACCATTACGTCTTTGGTGACAGGACCTTCTTTTTTACTGAAATACTAATAAAAGTTATTTTACAGTTCAAGGTAATAGCCCGTGGGCAAAAGCCACTGTGACATATTAAAATAAATACATACTGATAAACAAGTGCTGGCCAAATCTGCCACCAGTAAGGGAGAAGAGCTGCGGCAGAATTAGAGGTCCTTATATAAGGGAAAGACTTCCATAATAAGATCACTAGGGAATAACCCACTTCTGCCTCCTATCTAAAAATGCACAAGGATTCAAAATAGAAAATGCTCAGAACAACAAGCCCAAGAATATTAGAACATTTTGTATCTTTCTACTGGATTTACAAAAAGAATGCATTAATATAGCAGCTCAGTGGGTGAAAAAATCAGGTTATTCTACTTATTTTACAGAGGAGGAAACTGAGGCCCAGAGGGACTGTGACTCATGGGTGATTTTGGCAGACACCTTTTTTTTTCAGGAGCTGAGATCCTCTCTTCTCCACAAAGCAGCCCCAAGTTTAAATGGGCATGCTTACTTGTTTGAATTGTGTGAATGTTGTAATAGTCATATTATATTACACAGAAATAGACAGTTTAATTAATAATTGTTTAAATGGATCCAATTTAATGTTTTCTTTCTCAGTATCAGTAATTCTTACTTTTACAGATGTCATTTATTGTTATCTCAAATCATTCCAGTTTGTTTGCAAACCTACTCTACCAGGTGTTACATGCTTGCCTCTCTCTCCTCCCATTATTGATCACCTGGGAACAACAGTACTTTAATCACACATTTTAAACAACAAAAAAGTGACCTCTAAAGGATACTGCTCTGGGATTCAAAAGGAGGAAAACCAATATCCATTCAGTTTATCCTTCTGAGCAAAGTTAACTGTTAAAGAAGATAAGGCATGGATTCTCCTTAGGTGATCAAAGCAAACACTGATAGCTTGGGTGTTTAACTACGGTAATATAAGAAGAAAAATACTACTTGCAGTTTCCTAATGGAAACCTGTAGCTTCTATTGTATTCAATATACTAGCAACATGGATAAACCCCATTGTGCCAATGAAGTTACTGCAGCTGGACTTTTTACTCTCTTTCACTTACACTCTTGCAAAAGCAAGAGGATAGAGAGAAAATGCCCCGCAGAAGACCAAGCCACGGCTTGTGCAGGAATAAATTGTAGACATACATTCAGATCCTTTCCTTTGGCTTAGTTTGTTACTGACAAACACAAAATACTGAATTCTAAAATCTTCTTCTAATCGCATCTCCTGCAGTGCAACAGCAGAACGCCCACGTGCTATTCATAATTTACACCATGTTCTGTCATACTTCGGGACAGCGTGTAGATAAGCAAACATCAAAATATCACAGGCTTCTTTTGTGTGCACTATATTGTACCCAGAGAGGATTTGAAACACTTTAAAAGTGAGGTCCAATTAAACTTTTCAGTTGAAAATCTCTTTTAAAATGCAATGCTTTATTTCTTCCCTGATCAGAGAACAAGCCCTTCAGGATGTCAAATCTCATCACAATTACTTTTTCCTTTCCAAGCCTTAGACACATCAGTTTTTCTCAAACTAACATACACATTTCTATGGGAGGCATGGGTCAATTGTGAAAAATATTTGAAAACAAAGTATTTAACCCTTACAGCTAATGCAACTTAATTTATTACTTTCTGTAAGGGTACTGCAGATTAAGCAAGTGATCACAGCTGCTGATTCCTCATTTCTCTAACTTGCAGCTTTGAATTTCCCATCTTCTCTCTCATCCTGGGGACTAGACTCTCCTGTTTTTTTCTCTCTCCTACAAACACTTTATCTCAGTCTTGCCTTTATTGTCTCCTGGGAACAGGCATTGAAGACCCCTTTTTTGTTTTCATGGTTAATTCCCTGCCTTTCCTACTAAATTGGAATATAATCAAATCCAGCTCACGTTTTACTGCTTTTCCTCCCACTCTGTGCCCGTGCTTTCCAGCCGCCTGGGAGCTAACTCCACACCGGGGGACTGTGTGATGGACACCATGTTATGTCCTTTGGCATGGAGCAACACGACGTGCCGGTGTTTAGTCAGGGGACCTCACTGTGAACATCTGATAGATCCCCCTGGGAGCTGGAGCACAGGGCCAAGAAAAACACTCTGACCCTTGGCAAAGCAGTAGTTTTCTCACCTGCAGGAGTTTGGCATGACCTTGTGTCTTGGAGATATAACTCACCCCTACCAATTTGGTGGTCAGAAACTCCCAAATCTCTTTAAGTGGAGAATTTCAGTTCGAGATCTCTCCACATACACGATGAAGATGATACCTTGAAGTTCTATGCAAACAAAGAAATGTCCAGTATTATGCTGAAAACAACAAAAATTTCAGAAATTGATGCTTCACTGGGAACTTCTGAGGGCTGATCATTGTTAAATGTCAGGCAACTTTTTTTAGGTTTGCGGGTCTAAATTTAAAAGCTTATTTTAAAAAGCCTTGTCCATAAAGTGCACTTTAAGGACTAACACTTTATTAATGAAAACCACTTTTAGAAGTGATGATTTCTTTTATTTTGCTGTACATTTAGCTCCAGCACAAGAGATTTTATACCACATTCATCCTCTGAGGAGTGTTTTAGCAGTCACTGTATGTATTTTATTTTCCAAGGATCTTCTCTTGCTGCCTTTCTCAGTTTTTAATTGACTTGATGGACAAACTAAGTATCGTACTTTAACTAACAGAGAAGAGTAACAATTAAAAGTACCTGCGGTCAACACATGCCCTGACTTCTTTCTACCTTGCACTCTGTGACCTTAAAAGACTGTTTGTATCAGAAGAGATATTACCACTGTATCGAAATCTGCTCTTTGCCTACACACGAGCTGACTTCCAGGCCCCCTAAAATCCATAGAAATTTTCCCAGGATTTTACCTGGGACAACTTTCTCCTTTGTGAGGCTGCTCCTGCTCATCAAATCATGCAAGGATCAGTCCCCAGGTATGACAGCCACAGCAGACACAGTGAGGGCAGAGAGAGGGGAGTCAGACCGCTTGTCTAAGCAGCACCATTTATGATGCTGCCTTAAAGTGGCCAGGAGGCTCAAAGTCACCAAAACAGCTATTTTCAACTTTTGCTTGACATTTCAAGACCTGAGAGTTTCCAGTAGATGTGCAGATGTCTGTGTGCCAGCTTTAAGATACACTAAGGATTAATCCAGAAGTCTATGGATGACAGGCTGAAAACCATTGGACATAGTCAGATAGGCAAAATTACTCAAAATCATGAACTTATGTATGTCTTTACATTCCAGATTCCAGTTTCAGAGAAAAGAGTGTATAGTACAGTTAGCAATAGCAAACAATTTTCAGGCACCAGCTCCTACCGTTACCTGGGTACATTAGCAACCATTTGAATTGCTGGAAGTTTTTGTATGAAGGAATTAATAAGCAAGGGGTGAATACTATCATAAAAAAGAAGAAATTTTACATTAAGAGGCTGGCATTAAAATTGATAAGAATAAAAAAGTAACAATTAAAGAGAAAGACTGAACAAATGTGCTGTAAATAGTTTTCTAATGTAATTTACATAAATATCCTTTCTCACAGCTAGGCTGATAAGAAGTCAAGCTTTAGGCTCAAGAACAAAAAAAAAACCCTGTAGGCAGCTGATAACTAGAAAGTGAGAGCTTTGCTTAGCAGCTGATATGATGACCTTCACAATGGCCCTTGGTGCCTTTATGTCCCATCAGCTGTTTCTACAATGTTGGACAGGAGCTCTCCGTGGTTTCCTCGATCTTATTGTCAGCTTTCCTTGCCAAGGAAACCTTGCTGAATTGAGGGAAGACGCAGCCTCTGTGCAGCTGGGGTGCAAGCAGGGAAGGCACCTGGGAGCCAGGGCTGGGGACTTCCTCTGGGTTTCACTTTCAGTTCTGCAATTTGCTGCTCTCCCCCCCCCCCTCCCCATCGCTGAAATAAAACAGAGTGCTCGTAACGTGATTAAAGTGTGTCACTGCTGAGCTCTCTAAGTTCAGGAAATCTTGTTTGGATTTGGTACGTGACATCTATAGTGGCTGTTTCTTGGCTGTGCTGGTTGCACGTTCTTAAGAGATGAGTTTCCTTGCTGAGGGGAAGCAAATTAATGTTCAAATTAGGAGATTGACAAAACAGTTTCTGCTTTGAAGTCTGTTGCACCTGGGATTCCTTAGGTAATCATGATTTTTGTCCTTACTAGTATTTAGCTGCAAAAGACTACCAGGGTTCACAGGCAGACCTAT